CACTAGAGGTTCACAAAATGCATGTGACACATGCGTTTGACAAATATAAGATAAAAATGGATTTCTTGAAAATGCATGCCAACACTTTGTTTCATCATTTGCTTAATTTATGTATTGTGCAGTCTATTTTCCCTGATGCCTGGAAGTTTGCTCAGATTACTCCCATTTTTAAATCTGGTGATCCAACAGAATTTCTGTTCTTCCTATTTTTTCTAAGTTACTTGAAAAAACATTATTTAATCAACTACTTCAGCATCTAGAAGCTAATAATATGCTAAGTATTAGCCAACATGGTTTCCGCACGTCAAGGTCAACCATGTCTGCATTAATTTTATTCACTGAACAAATACGTGCTGCTTTGAACAAAGGTCATGTAACTGGTGCTGTACATATTGATTTTCGTAAAGCGTTTGACACAGTTGATCATTATACTCTCTTACAAAAGTTGATTTCTTTTCAACTTTCATCATCTGCAATACAAATGTTTTCCTCTTATTTGACTGATAGGTGTCAGGTTGTGAAACATGGAAACTGCATGATAAAAAATAATGCCAGTCAAATACTTTTATTATTTAATACAACTTTTTAGCAGGTTAACTGTTAAATATATCATTTGTTCATTCAGTGTCAATGGCAAATAAAAAAACTGTTTTTTAACCCTCAGCAAGTTTACAATGAAAACTTTACACTGCAGAGGATTATGTCTATGTCCATCTTGTGTCTTTGTTACAGCAACATGATGCTGTCAGTCTTGTGCTTGTCAGCAGATTACCAATATTCAACGTTACTGATGTTTCATTTGTTGAACATGAAATAAAAAACTAAATAAAATGAACCCAACCCACTAAACCAAACAGAAATACCTTTTATTGGATGAACAGCTGTGCCGTTTATTTCAGTTTTAATTGTATTCGGTTAAAAAAAATTGGCATACAGAACCCACTTAAAACCTTTCCCGTGATGATAATAAATGAGTTATTGCTTCGCTTATTATATCATCGTTTAAGATGAAAATTTGTTTTGTCTTCTGTACTCATCATATATTTTATGCTTGATGACACAAACATCACCTTGTATGATTCTATTGCATTTATTTCATTGTAAGTTTTCAAAAAACAATTTTGCATCATTGAACAATTAAAATAATCAAAACTGCTTGTTCCAGCTTTTTTTATTGTGAAGTAACAAAACAACAAAAGAGAGAATGGATCTATATTCTACCCAGCTGAACAGTGTTCATATAGGTAGAAATAGAAAAACAAATATTCTGTTTGTTCTCATTTGGTTTTTGTTTTTTTTTTGTTTTTGTTTCAGCAGAGAAACTCCAGCATCTCTGGGAGCACGAGAGGGATGTACCAAGTGTCAGAGAGACGTTCCTCCCCCAGCACAGGGTGGGTCTGCTGTATGCTGTCTACACTTACAGACACTCCATCACCTTCAGTCTGGACTGTAATTCTTTCAGAGTATATGAGTGTGCCATAATGTGTAGAAGTACTTAAAGGTGCTTTTACTGGTAAGTGAAAAAAGACTTAGCCAGGCTTTTAATTGGCAYATTACATGTGGTATAATAATAAGCAATCCCCCTCATGCTGTAGATGATTACAGAACTGTGAAATGCCAGGCTGTTTCCGTTTGTCGACTCGTGTGTGTGTGTGTGTGTGTGTGTGTGTGTGGGGGGGGGGGGGTCCAGTGGGATATTTTATAGCTGTGAGCTGTTAATTGAATCTCAAGCACCAACATAGTTACCTGCTGTAGTCAAAGCTCCTGTAGCGAAACACAATCTGTGATTTAGGAGCAAATCTTTTAACCAACATGTAGCCTTCTGAGGAGCATCGTGGTCTCCCCGTGTGTGTAAAAAAAATCTGAGAAATTCATTTTAAAGCCTCAAACTCAGACTAAGACAAAGCACAAAGGAACTGCAGAAAAACAGACGGTCTGGACTGAACAAAGATTTACTAAGTCGATCAGGAAGTGGAAGCAAAACAAAAGTTTTAGATTATTTGAAATGCATTTTGTAGAAAGGTTATAAATAATTAATGTCTTACCTGTTATATATAGCTCTTTTAATGACCTCAGATAGAAGATGAATAAAAACATTAGACCAAGACATAAGTACAAACAACTTAAAACGTTATAAAACTAGGTAAACCTCTGGCCATGGTTAGTTATATGCAAGGAATTGTGCAAATATTGTCTCACAGTTTAAAACTTTKTGAAACTATTATCTTCTGCATTCAAATTTAGGTAAATATCTGTGAAACTGACTGAATTATAGCCATGTTTGTGTTGATTAGCTGTGYCAACCATTTTGAGTCTGGTTAAAAGTTAAGCAGTGGATGAGGATCCAGTGTTTACTTTCTGAGTGTTTCATCAAAATTGTCCCACTGGTTTGTAAGATATTCTGTCAACAGACACACTACAATAGTTGACAAAGTTTAAAACAAAAGTGTTGTGTGATTGGCCGGCAGTGTTGGGGATGACTCTCTGCTACTACCACACCAAGTTGTTGCACGATATCTGTAAAACTGGCAGAACTGTAGTACTTTTGTGTTTGTTAAGGTTGATTATCTGTGGTGGCCATCTTGAATCAGGTTGACTTTAAAAACTAATCAGTGTTAGATGTGTCTCCAGTTTTTACTTTTAAGTTTTATTGAAATACATCCATTCGTTCTTCTTATATTGCTTTTAAGCTAATTTAGTTGTTTTATTATATTAATAATACTAATATGTTGATATTTTGCTAATTTTGATCTATTTTTGCTTCTGTTTAGCATCATCACGCTTACTAGGTGACAGGATGTATGCCAGGGTAAGGGCAGAAATAAAGCAGAAGACTAGACCGTCTAAATTCACAGCCACTTTTTTCTGCTCTTTGTGCTCTACCAAGGACCTGGYCCACCTGGACCGGGTAGGCCGAGTCCTTCGAAGAACCCGGCCCCTGAATATGAACACAGCCATAGTTACACATAAATACATTGTGATCAAATGGATTCTAGTTAGAATGGATGTCTGGGTTTCTACATGAGGACACACATGGCCGAGATGTAGTACTCTGACTAACACAACTGTCAGCCCCAGTTGGTACATGAATGTGTTTCCTGTTGTGACGTCCTTCCCTTCTGAATGACACACGCAAGTTTGTTTTTATATTCCTGTGAAGATCGTGGATTGACTTCCATTCATTTTCGGGTAATTTTATAGCCTAACCCTGACCATTTACCCTAACATTAACCTCACAGGTACCTACCTAACCC